ATATTCTGCCTCCTCATACCCCAGCCCTGCTTCCCTCAGTTGACCTCTGTCACTTCATCTGAGCTCAGGGAGTGTGTGTTACAGGCGGGCCTGCGCACTCTTCACGACATTGGGCCAGAGATTCGGAGGGCCATATCAGGGGACCTCACTGTGGAGGAGGAGCTGGAGAAAGCCATGAAGGAAACTGCCTCTGCTGCTTCAGAGGATGACATATTCAGGGTAAGGATTATGGCATGCTCAATTAAGATGCTCAAAAGGTAATTCAGTCACCATTTTACATCTCTGTTGCTAATGACTGGTATGTGTCTGGGGAGATGCCCACTTCTGCAAAGGACTGTAAGACACCACTTACAAAAAGTATCCTGAGACAGTTCTAATCATGTGATTTCTCAGCGTGTGGTACAGTAGCATATTCCTGCTGACCTTTACTAGACATACTGTAGAGCAGGGAGTTGTGTCAACACATGGGCTGCCAAGGAACAAGATTAAGTCAATTCCACACTGAAAAGTAAAAAGAAAAAGCAGGGTATGAAACTAACGCGTTCTGTGATTTACTTTTGTACTTTTTTTTCACCATTGACCTCTGCCTTTTCTTTTACATGACATGTTCATCAAACATATAAACGACTCTCCTTACATATTGCACTGTATGTATAAGAAAATGAAAGCTGTCCTATGTGTGCAGTTGTGAGCAGTTATGAGTAAATAAATCAATAAATAAAGTCAATACACTATTTTCTTTCATTGTTTTTCTTGTGATTGCTGGATAGGTAATTAACATGATTAAAGTGCACACAGATCTTTTTTGTTCCACATTGTCAATTACTGGTCCTGAAAACAACGAGTAGCTTGAAATTACAGTAAATGTAGAAAGACATATCAATTAGCAAGTCTGACAGGTTTTTCCTTGTTGTCAGTTTAAAATGTACTAAATAGGGGATTTAAAAAAAATAGTATGTGTTTATTCTCACAGTTCTATCTGACACTGCTGCCAAAATAATGTTCTTTTTATGGATACATTTTAGGAATGTTCTTTGAGTGCATGTGTTTGGCATCGCCAAAGCAAATCTTCAAAATATGACTTAATTTTTTGTCATAGTGTTATACAAATCTTCTCTAATACACAAATATTTCTGTTTTTTTTGTCTAGAATGTTAAAATTCATTATTCTTCATTTTGAGATGGGCACATTTTTTTCTTTTAAAAGAGATGTTATAAAAGCAGATACATTTTATGGATATGTTGGTCAATTTGACAAAATTTCTAGTGCAACCGTTTTCCCTCAACAGAGAGCTGGTGGTTTGTTTGGCAATCACGTCAACTACTACCAAAGTGATGGGCGGAACACGTTCCCACAGTCCTTCACTACCCAGCGTCCTTTGCACATTAACAAAGCAGGGAACAGCTCTGGGGACATGGAGTCTCCCTCTCACGAGAAGCTGGTGGACTCCACTTTCACACCCAGCAGCTACTCTTCATCAGGCTCCAACGCCAACATCAACAACGCCAACAACACTGCCATAGGCCGCTTCCCCAGTCCAGCCACGTACCAGAGCACTATCAGTACAGTGGATGGCCAAAGAAATCCACTCACCCCCAGTCTTCTCCCCCGGGCAGCCGCCTGGCAGCTCAGTGCCAAGAGGTAATTGACACACCTGCAGTTTATTCTGTGCTGAGGTCAAGGTCCTGTTGCTAACACTTTGTCCAATTCTCTTTTTTAAAAAAATCCCAGAAATATACTGTAAACTATATCGATCTCTGAATTATTCTTTGTCTTCTTATCATCAGCTTTTTAATTTTATCATTAGATACTAGTATATTGAAACTGAATTCCAAAGTAAGTAAAACAACAATAAAAAACTAACATAAAGGATGTTAAGGTCATTCCTATAATATGTGGAATGAGGTGTAGTCTAATGGACTGTAAAAATATACTGTAGGTACGACTGAAATATTGAAACATTAAGTAAAAATCTTAGATACGTTTAATGGCTACTCTGTCTAAATAAAACTAGACCAGGATTCCATTTTACCTTATCAATTGCTATATGATAATAAAATATAATAAAACCATATGAATAAATAATATAATGACCAATCATTTACTATTCAAAGCTTAATTATCTTCAATAATGGAGATTATATAGCTCATCTATATTTTTTCTTTCTTCTCCATTTGTTACACCTTTGACTTTATTCTTAACAAACTCTCTTCTGTTTTATTCTCTAACTGTTTCTGCAACCAGGACACGTTATTATGAGACCCTCATGCGGTACGTTTCTCTCACACAGTGGTGACATTCTCAATCACAGCATGCTAAGATTAAGGCGAAGCACATATACAGTACATCTGCTCAGCAAGTTTCTTAAACAATCAGGTCTCCATTCAGAGGACAGGTCTGTAAAAGATTGGACTACGATCTCCACCATATCATCAGCTTACTAAGACCAGGACACCCTTTTGTGGCTATGCACAATTTGTATACTCCAGCTGAGTTTGCATGGTTTAATTTGTAGTTGGACAAAATATCCTTGTGGCTTTCCTATTTCCTTAGCTTTGGGGAGTTAGTTTTTGAGGCTTCTTCAGCCTCAACCAACACATCCCGTGTTCTGCTATACTTTATTCTTCTACTCCTGTAGTACTATGCAAGCTCTCAGCATTGATAGAACTGGGTTACGTGTTGTCTTAATGTCTCTGAGCTCAACAAGGGTTGTTGCCAAATTGTTAGCAGCTGGAAGTTCCAAATCAGAGATACTGCATGAAAAGAAGGAAAACTCTACTGTCTATTACGTTTATCCTTTAACATTAACAATAACAGCACTGAGTGTGAAGCCTGGATTGCACATTTTTAATAACTGAGTCATTCCTCAAGCACTGCTTCTGATATGATAACACGGTGGCGCAGTGATTAACATTGCTGCTTTGCTGCATTTGGGCTCTGGATCCAGTTCTGGACCTGAGGTGTTATCTGTGTGGAGTTTGTATTTTCTTCCTGTGTTTGCGTACCGTAGGTTAATTGCTTTCTGTCAAAATATACCTTAGGTTTCAGTGTGTGCATGTTTGTGTATGTGTCTGTATGTGCCCTCGATGGTTTGGTGCTCCACCCAGAGTGTATCTTATATATCAATTATAAATAAGTTAGGTGATTCCTCAACATACTAACATGATATTTGTCTCCCAGGTCTGACTCCGGAGATAGCCGCCTGCCCATTATTCGTCGAGAGGAGGCGTCGCCTGATGAGACATATGATGAGAATTTCACCGACGAGCAGGAGTACTGCAGTGAACAGAGCATGCTCTCCTCTGAAATGTACTGTTCTGTCATGTACTTTATGCCTTTTCAGTCCAGTTTGATATGAAAGTTGTGTTTTAATACTCATGTTTCTAATGCACAGCAGGGAATCAATGTCTTTAAACTTTGTACAGTATGTTCTTGAAGTGGACTATGGGAACTAAGACTGTAGGAATGATATACTTTATTTCTAAATCAGGGTTTACCTGAAAACATTATTGAGAAGGATTTCAATGGTAGACTAGAGATTGTAAGCCCCCAGGTTTGGAAAATCCAAAATGCTTAAAGTGATACATGTTTCCTTGTTCAGATTTTTACATTAAACAAGTTCCTGCACAGGCAAACAAATGAATGTGCTCTAATTAAAGTACTGGTCAAGATGCAACTTGAGTAGCAATGCTGTTTATGGCTTTTGCTAGGTACCTCGTGTATCTCCCTAATATCTAAAAAATCACAAGATGAGCCCTTTACATTTCTGATAAAATGTTGCTCCTACCTCAATACTTCAAAACATAGAATGCTTCTTATGGTCAGTTGAACACACTCTGCTTGTATTTGCTTTCTGTTGGAGGTTGATGTCTGGGATGATGAAAATCTACTATGTTTGCAGGCTGGGATACCATGACGAGGAGAGCAAGCAGCTCACGCCCATGGAGGAGGGCGAGGACAATGAAGAGAGGAAGCTCTGGCAGTCCCCAAAGCGAGCCTTGTTATGCCCAACAACACTAGGTAAGAATGCAGTAGGCATCAAAGTGGGCTTGAGACTGTCTTCTGCCAGAAGCCATGTCACCCTGCAACTCACAACTGACAACCCACTGAAGCTCAGCAGGTGTGAGCCTGGTCAGTACCTGGATGGGAGACTCCTGGGAAAAACTAAGGTTGCTGCATGAAGAGATGTTAGTGGGGCCAGCAGGTCACCCTGTGGTCTATGTGGGTCCTAATGCCCCAGTATAGTGATGGGGACACTATACAGTAAAAAGGCGCCATCCTTCAGATGAGATGTAAAACCGAGGTCCTGATTCTCTGTGGTCATTAATAATCCCAGAGTGTTTCTCAAAAAGTGTAGGGGTTTAACCTCTGTGTGGTGAGCGTTCTGGTGCATTATGGCTGCAATCACATCATCCAGGTGAGGACTGCACATTGGTGATGGTGGAGGAGAATCCCCATTACCTGTAAAGCGCTTTGAGTGGACTGTCTAGAAAAGCGGTATATAAGTGTAAGCAGTTATTATTATTATTATTATTATTTTTCTGTTCAGATGGTATGGTGGGTTTTACTGCATCTTTCTGGAAACTGACAACCCTGAAGGCTGTGTTGGCTTTATTCAATGATTACCTGCTTTTGATTATAAAATTAGGTTAGCACAGAGAGACTGTGGTTAGCATAGCTGCCTCACAGAACTGGGGTCCTGGAGCTGGGCTGCTCTCTGCATGGAGTTTGTATGTTCTCCCTGTGTTTGCATTGTTTTTTTTCTGAGTGCTCCTGTCGCCTCCCACCACTTCAAAGACTGATAGGTTTCTGGGAAAGTAGGCTGTAGGTGTAGTCAGTGTTTGTGTCTGTGTGTTCCCTTTGATGGACTGGTATCCCATTCAGGGTGTATCCTGCCCTGTGCCCATTGCTTGCTGGGATAGGCTCTGGCTCCCCTGCACAATTGAACTAGATGAAGTGGTTACAAAATGAATGTTAATTTAAATTGGTTCAGATAAGTGATTAAATTACATAGTTACCTGAAAGAGTCCAAGACTAAGGAAAACCTCAGAAGGGTTTGAAGATGAAATGCAATAGAATAGACAATAGGTAAAAAATAAAAACAAAAAAAAAATTTACTTTTTAAAAGAAAAGCAATAATGCTGTAATTGATGTTTAATTCAATTTCATTCTTTACTGTGTTCTTGATAAATGTGTTTGCAAATGCTTTTGCAGTGAACTAGAAGTTTGTTGTAGCTTTAAGACTAATAAAATATTTACCATGAAATTGTTTTTTAACTTTTGTAATTAACCAATCAGCTAGACTGTGAACACATAATGGACATAGTCTGAGAAGATAGAACACAGAACATTGAAGTGAAATACAAATGCTGTGCTTTTCAGTTGAGTGCATATTGCTTGAAATTCAAGTAGGACATTTTTTTTTGCTTGGTCTGTATTGATTTATATTAAAATTGGACACTTAGCAAATGTGTCATGTTTTAATCGAAATAGAAAAACAAAATGCCAACTTAGACAAAATATTGTTTCCCTATTTCAAATATGTATAATAATTTTCTTTGCATTGATTTATTTTTGCAATCAACAGTTTTCATTTTCTTTTCCTGTGTTTCTTGGAAGCATACAAGGTTTTGACATTTCAATAACAGAAAGTCTGTATAATAGACTCATGCTGTGAAGAATAATGCAAAATGCCTTTACTAAATTATCCAATCTGCAGCGTTTGCTTGTTACCTTTCACACAGTAGTTACAGTAAATCAGTTGAGAATTCTTATGATTTGAGTTACAAAAAGAGTTATAGTTTCACCATATAAACACCACCCCCTATTTCTTAAGAACTACAGTATGTTTCAACTGATCTATTATTTAATTCAACCCTTAAGGAAACTAATCATTTGTTTCATAAAACCTTTTTACAAAATTTCAGCTGGATTTAAGTTTTTCCTTTTTCCTTGAGTATGTATTCTGTAAGGACATTTTGTGATGATGTACATTTCAGATAAAAAATGTCTGAAAATAATATAGCAGGCATGTTCATTACAAAAAAAATTACAAATAAGAGAAAGCATTTAATAAAGCATACAAAATAAAGTGATTTTGCTACTTTAACCAACCCAGAGTTTTCAAAGAAATGCAGTTTTTATGTGATCTGTTTGGCCTCTGTTCTGATGTAATCTGTACACAACAGTCTAGATCAGTGGTTTTGCAACCCATGTCCTGGAAAAACGCAGTGTCTTTTAGTTTTTGGTCCTGTTCAGTTCTTATTGGTCTAATAAACTGATTGATTTGTGTTTTCTATGTGGAGCATAGTATTTGTAATTTCACTTTCAGGCTGTTAAAAGCTCAAATGTGATTTGTAACTGATATCAATCATTTGCCAGTTTCTGGGTTTCAGAACTTCCCTCTTCAGTTATGTTTCCATGAACAATAATCAATTGGAGCTCTACAGTTGAAATAAACATGGAATCACCATGAGAGTTCTCTAATACAGAGCCATTGCCACCTTATCTATCAACAATTAACCAAGTAGAAAGAGGTGTTCAGTCAGAAATAAAGGCAAGTTGAGGAGAGGCTGAGTAAATTTCTATATGGTAATATTATTGGAAACAGTATCCTTGAAGTGGGATATTTTGATCACTCAGGACTGACCAAAGAACTGGAATGAAAACCAACAGACAGTGTTCCTCCTGCACTACTGTGAACAACTTTAATTAGAGTTCATGTTATTCCCTATCCTTTGTTCTTTTTCCAAATAGGTCGACGATCATCCTTCCACCTAGAGTGTTTAAAGAGGCAGACCAAACAGCCACCAGATGTGTCTCAGAAGACTGTACTGCCCCTTCACCTAGTACATCACCAGGTGAGATCTTCTCCATCTCTGCTCTACAAAAACAAAACATTAAGGATGACTGAGCCATCATTATGAATATCTGTAGTTCTCCTGCAGAACAACATGGAAACGATCATAAAAAAATAAAGCCATCTTATGGGTCAAAAATGTTTTTTTTTTTAATTCCAAATCCCTGTAAGGTCTAAGAACATGCAGACATGGTTTACAAATGAGAAGTGGGCTTTTGTATAAACTTGGTTGCAAGTAGCTTAATGCTACAAAAATCCTAGTGTAGTAAATAATTTATTTTATTTTTTTATCCCTCGGGAGGGGGATCAGAATACCTCCTGGGTATCTCTGCCTGTCGTAAGAGGCGACTAAAAGGGTTGTGTCAGGAAG